AAAAAAAAATCCCTCAATCACAAAAACATTTAAAGAAAATTATACCAAACACATAACCACATTGCCCAAAAGCAGTGATAAAGACAGCAGTCAGAGACAAGATATGTTACCTACAGAGGAAAAGCATAAAAATTATAGGTTTCTTACTGGGAATAATACAAGCAAGAAGAGACAGTGGAACAGTATCTCTAAAGTACTAAAGGGAGAAATTGTCAGTGAAAAATTCTATGCTCAATGACAATAGTTGTCAAAATAAAGACAAAATATACTTTTAAGAATAGAAAATTAAAAGAGTATATCACCAGAAAGAAAGTTAAAAGACTATATCAGACACAAGCCACAAGGTAATAAAAAAGTTTAAAAACCCTCAGGCTGAAGGAAAATTATACATGAATAGATGTAAAAGAGTTTTCCTATTTTTAAAATCTTTATAAATGATAATTTTAAATTAATGTAAATATGTGAAAGTAAAATGTATGATAACCAAATAATATATGGCAGAAGCTGCGAGGAGAGATGTGAGGTGTATTATTATTTATAAAGTTCTTACCATGTCTGTGGAAATAGTATCATTTCAAGGTTGACAAGAAAAAGTTAAAAAGGAGTCAAATATTAGTGAACCAGTTCATCTGGCAAGTCTACTCTGCCAAGTCCACTCTGCCGACACCCACTTGTGGCAAAAAGAAAGCCACAAGCACCTGAGTGTTTCATCCTGGCCTCTCTTCCCAAATCCAGAGGCCTCTCCAGCTGACACTAAGATGAACTAGGGGTCTCTAGTCCAGAGGTTGCCAGCATCTGAGCGTGCCGGAATGGTAAAATATTATTGCTGTTTTTCATTGTTTTTGTTCAAACATTCTTCTAGGTCGTATAGCCCTGGTGTGTCCACTTGCCGTACAGAGGTAACGTGGTTGCTGTGAAGCTGAACACTGTGACATTGATGTGTCAAATGTGATAATGGTTACCCTTGGTGGACAGTGTTTGGTGGAGCTCCCCGATTAACACAAGCTTGGAAGCAGGAGTGCCATCCACTTCTGTAATAGTTTGCCTCCGAAAACCCTATGAACCTGGAGAAAGGAGGAAAGTCACACAAGTGTTGAGGGCTTTCATTCATAGGGTTGCTATGAGTCGCCTGAGACTCGACAGCACTTAACAACAACAACATTAGTGAACCATGGGTCAACTTTAAGAAAACCAATAAAATAATGAAACAGAATTATATAACTGATAAGTCCTTACAGGAAATAGATCAGTCAGGTCCAATCAGAATGTGGAAATTACATGGCAATTGGTAGAGGGGAAGTTTAATATAAGAAATTATTGACTATAATGGAGGATTGGAGTAACAGAAACTAAAGATAACTCTTAAAAATATATTTGAAAGGTGTATAAAGAACAGACACAAGAAACGCCTACCCCGCCCCTACTCTCCCCTGCTGTCTGAGATTCAGACCTTGTGGCAGAGAGCCCGGCTATGGAAGGCAGAGAAGTCTCTGTGCTGATGCAATGCTGGAAATTTACCCCCTGGGGCACCAGCATAAACCTTCCATGGAGTGTCTCACAGAGGGATTCTGCCACAGCTCTGCCTCAGATCCGCTAGTGGCTCATGGGTGCTGCAGAGTACCATCTGCTGCAGAACCAGGTGTTGGAAAAGTTTGGTGTACAGCTGAAGCCTGGAGCTGAGAATACCACCTACACAGCAGGAACTGGGCACAGGGTAAGTTGTGCTGCTCCAGAAACCAGATGCTAAGGAAGTTGTTTGTGCTACTGGGCACTGCCAATGCCATATGTGCTGCAGGAGCCAGACAGGGAAGAAACCTTGCTACAGCAGGACCTGCCTCGCAAGCACGCTAGAAATAGGAAGGGGAAACCGCCTTCTCCTGCAATGTCTCTCTGGCGCCCTCTACTGACAAACTTTAACATCATGCTAGTTCGCAAAAAATAAGCTGAAAAAGCACCTTGACTTTTTTGGAACGATGTCGTTAAATGCCCAACTGCTAAGCAGAAGATTGGTGGTCCGAGCCTACCAGCCTCTCTGCGGGGAAAATATACAGTAGTCTCCTTTTATAAAGATCTGTAGCCTTGAAAAACCTTATGAGACAAGTCCCATAATGTTGCCATGAATCAGATTCACTCGAAGTTACTGGCTTTGGCTCAGCAGTAAAAATGAATGAATGAACTATGAGACAGAAGTAGAGGTAGAGGTGGGGGGGGTGCGGGAGAAAGAGATACACACACTACATGCATGAGACTCAAAATAATCATTCTGTGTAGCAAAAAAAACCCAGACATCCTTCATACATAAATCTCCAGAAAAAAGATACGCCTTTAACATTCTACTTTGTATACAATTCTCACTGAGTAGTGGCAGGACATATTAACAATTGCATGGAGATGAAGTTGGAGTTACCGAGAAGGATGGGAAAAGGTGGTCACAGAAAGGCATGAGGAAACTTTTCAAGGTGTGTATTTGTTCATTATCTTGGTTGTGTGATGGTTTTATGAGTGTATGCTTGGTCAAAATATATACACACCTCCAAAGGGGGCAATTTTTAAATAAAATCCTCTTTGTTTCTAAGCTACCATCCTATTGTATAAACTTGTATGACTGATTTGACCAATTTTGTCACTTAGCCAAGTTAGTGAACGAATAACTAGCTAAGTGGGACAGACCTTTTTCTGAAGAGACTGTAAAAGGACCCGCTCAAGCCATTATTAATCTTGGTAGTCAGAGAAATAAAATAGGTGCCAGTGTGTGGTGATGGTGCACAATTAATATCTGCAAATGTTCTGCCAAAAATCCAGGAACCAAAATGAGAGCCAACCATTAGAGTAGCTGATTCCATTTGTGAGGTGAATTATATATAGATTTTCTCACAGAAAGAGGCATATTTTTATTCTTCACTCCAAAGTGCATTCAACAAAAAAAAGCCGCTTTTTAAATGTGTTGAAACAAGCCATCAATTTCTCTCATAGAGGAGGAATTCATTCACTTGTTGAGAATGAAATTATAAAAGCTTGCCTTTTATCTCTTTGACTGTTTAATATTGTTACATAAGTGTTTACTTCTCCACAGCTATTCTGACTGACAACATATTCACCTGGGGTTCTTCTCTCTTGCCCCTGTGTTTGATATGCCAGATGCATCGTCAAAATCACTGGAGAAATGGTCTTGTCCTTTCCTGCCGGCATCACCAGACACTTCGCCAACAACCCATCCCCAGCTGCTCTGACATTTCGGGTGGTGAATTTTAGCAGGTTAGAACACGTTCTGCCAAATCCCCAACTTCTCTGCTGGTAAATATAAGTTTTTGTACATTTTTTACAAATATGTGTGACTGGGTATTTTGTATCTGGAAAAGGGATAAACCTCAGAAGTGGAGTAACGCTGTTAGAGAATTTTCCAGTGTTCCAATGCACCTGTCAACTGGACGTAAAACTTTTACTAGCCATCAAGATTGCTACATGTATGTGTGACTGCATGTCCATATACATATTTGTTAATGCCCCGCGATCAGGAGTGGGTAACAAGGCATTTAGAATAACATAAGTCTAGATTACTCACAGTTTGGCCATTGTTTTATTTTTTCATTGGTTGACAATAAATTATAATGATGGAACTAAGCCCAATCACAGGACTAAAGTCCTTTTTTTAAATAGGCATCTTTTTAAAAGAAATGATGTTTAAGTTGTGAGTTGTTTTTCACATGACTTTGAAACTGGTTTTGTGATGCAAAATGCCCTTCTAATTATAATGTTTTAATAGAGCTTTACATCTATGACCATACATAAAAAGCTTGCATAAATTTGTTTATGTGAATATGATTTTCACATATTCTAAATATGAGACCTAAATATAATGTCTTTATCTTACGTACTCACGTATACAGTCACACAGTACCGTGTAATGAAGATGTCTAACTGTATCAAGATCATTATTTACGATGGTTAATTCAATGGCCTTGTTCTTGATCTCTTCCTCTTCCTCATTAAGTTCTTAGAGTACACATAAAAATCTCTCTCTTGTGTGGTCACTAGTGTTTATGGGACCTCTTTGCCCACCGTCAGTGACCGCTATCAGCCCCAGGACCACCGCAGTGGCTCTCTCTTAGTCTTCCTTCCCTGCATCTGGTTTTGCCTCACTCCAAAAGCATTTTCCACCCAGCAGACAGACTTTTCTGAAACAAATGAGGCAGTTCTTCTGTTTAATTCTTCAGGAACTTCACATTGCACCTGTACTTCAATTTGTTCCCATTCCCTTTGCAGCCCAGGCTCATACATTCTTACCTGTCTGTCTGTCCTCTTCACTCACCATTCTGACTCAAAGTCCCCCAGCTCTTAGCACACCTCGCATTGTCAGACATCACACAGCAGTGTTTTTGTGCATGTTCCCTCTGCATGGAATTCTCTTTCTCCCTTTGTCACATGACTCCTATCCATCAGTTAGATTCAGCTTCACTGAGATGCTGTTTCCCACTTCCCCCTCAATCCCCACCATTGTCAACATAAATTACACTCCCTTGTTACTCTGTCTTCTACCACTTTCTATCATTTATATCTATTTTTGTTTCTTTATTCACCCATCTCCCCACCAGACTATAAGATCTGTTGAAGAATGAAGCCCTCCATTAGTTGACTGCTGTATCTTCTTACTTCCCACTGCATCCACCATTTAATAAGCACTTCCCTAATATGTAATTAATAAACTAACAATTCAGATATAACTTGAAAATTTAATTGCTACAGTACTTCAGCAGATATAAGTAAAGGTTGTTGGTATTTGAAATTTGAGGATCAGTAGAGTCATTCTTATCTAAATGAAGTTTCCATTTTTATTTCAAAAGTGTAAACCATTCACAGGTCTTTGAATTATAAAGGCTACCTTCTCTTTTGTGATCTCTGAATGGGCCTAAATGACAACTTAATTTCAGGCTTTAGGCTGTTGTTGCTAGGTGCCATGGAGCCAAGTATGACTCCTAGCAACCCTATGAGCAACAGATCTGAACCCTGTCCTATCCTGCGCCATCCTCCCAATCTTTGACACACTTGACCCCATTACTGTCGTCACTCTATCAATCCACCTAGTTGAGAGTCTTCCTCTCCTTCACCGTCTCTCCACCTTTGCAAGCATGATGTCCTACTTCAAGGAGTAGCCTCTCCTAGCAACATCATTTCCAAAATATGTGAGACGAAGCTTGAGGCAAATGTATGTGTGGTTTTGGTATAGTGGGTAAGTATGAATTGCAGGAAGCTTGACTCTAGCTAGAATCATAACTCTGTTACTTTTTATCTATCTGTATGACCTTAAACAAAGTATTAACTTTGATGACCCTCTGTAATCTTTTTTTTTCCTGTCACCTTCCTCTGGAAGCTTGAATAACTTGGATGCTGATCCATGATAAATGTTTGGACAATCCTTATCAGCATCCTTAGCTCAGCTTCACTCGGGCAGTCTCAGGGGTCATCACTCTCTGTATGCCTAGACTAAAAGACCTGTTCTGTGGCCTCATTAACCTTGTTCTGGATGGGTCATGCTGAGATGTGTCCTTTCACAGCCACCCTTTCCAGACAGACCAGTAGCCACTTTAAGACTCTGATGTTATTTAGACTACTTGTTCAATTTGTTTGACCTCTAAAGTGTGAATCATAGCAATTTCTTTTTGATCTGTCCTCTATCTTCCTAGTGCCCTCTCTATCTCCAATACCCTCCTCTTATAATAAGCTTGTAATTCTTTAAAAAGGAGAGTAATAATTCTTCCTTTGCTGAGCAGAGTTTATTTTTTGTTGTTGTTGTGTACCATCAAGTTGGAACTGACCCATAGCTAACCAACCCTCTGACGGGTGTTTGGAGGAAGTTAATCACACAGGAAGAGATTGTCCA